CAGCTGCTCCTTTGAGCACCAGCACCGTTTGGTGCAGTCACGATGGGAGAGTTCATAACCCTCTATAAACCATTATTCCAGAGGACTCGTCTCAGAGGTTTCCCTTCATTCTGAATAACTGAATGGAGTGGCATTGGATGGAAAGAAAAGTTAATATGTTCATCAGTGATGGTCTGCATTAGAAGTGACCGTATTGCTTTGCCATGTATAGCCGAAGCACAGATCACCAAGACCCATGTGGTCTACTAAACCATTGGGCAAGTCAACTTACCAACACTAGAAAATGGCCAACTATTTAAAGCACAACTAAACCCAAAAATGTTATGTATTAGAGCTTACTAGGTGTGGTGGGTGCTTTAGTTTTCCTTCAACCACTTGCTTTTTCACCTGGTAATACTGCAAATAACAATCTTCTCCGGGTGGCTACGTCACACCATCCACTGTATTCGAGGAGACCATAGTTATCCCCCTAGGCCAGGGGTAGGCAACCTTGGCTCTCCAGCTGTGCTGAAACTACAAATCCCATCATGCTTCTGCCTCTGGGAGTCATGCCTGTGGCTTGCAATGCCTTATGAGATTTGTAGTTTCAGCACAGCTGGAGAGCCTTGGTTGCCTACCACTACCCTAGGCGATTCTTCTGATGTAATGGATATAAGGCTACATGCACATGTGGGTCAGGGCAATTGGTACTTTACAGAAGTTAGAAAGGAAGGTAGCTATATTCTGTAAAACAGTTACCTTTTTAACTTTTGATTTACAGAATATAGTTAAGGAAGAATCTTCGATGCAGCTCGCCAGAAGTGACAAAGGACACTAGGTTTTCGGTAAGAACAGCCATTTACTGTACTTGCTGAAAATGTGTAGCTTGTAGAAAATAAAACCATCACAGCCACTACATGGAAGTCCTGTAGCTGCAACAGAATGCATTTTTTTTTCTTGGTTTGGATATTCTTTAAACACATTCAACTTGGATGAATGAATATAAAACCACCCACATTGTGGGGGTGAGTTTTACTAGCACTGAAAAATGCAGCATGCTCCAGCAGTGCACTCTAATGAGCCAGCCCTAGTGACACACTGATCTGCGATAAGGAAATCGCCCAGGCATGTAAGGAATTCAGGGCAGTGTATATATTTTATGAACACACCAACATCAAAGAAATCAGGATTGCCTTTGCCCGACAAAAATTGATAAGGAAAAGTGCACAAATAGGATCCGTTATCTGAGCTAGTTAGACTTTTGTACTGAACACACACAGGAGTAAAGGTGGATGGAGCCAGCACAGCATGCAGTCCTAAAAAACTCAGACAAGACAGTTTAACTTCCAAGGAGGAAATCAGCCTTGTTAGAGGAGAAAACATCCTGAAAAGAAACCCCCCAGACTGGCCATAAGGCCTGGTTCACACCTAGGCGTATTGCATATGCGCGTCTGTCGCACGTTTCCGAGGGCTACTTGGCTGTATCCCAATGGAAACGGGTTAGGGACGGGCTGAAATACGCAGGAGGTGTGAACCAGACCCATTGAAAACAATGGGATTTTCATGTTTGAGCGTTTTGTAGAGCGTTCGTCAAGCGTAGAACGCGCTACAAAACGTTCAGGTGTGAACGAGGGCTAAGACCGCAGAGGGATATTGGATCTGAAAGTGGAATTAGATGGGTCCCCCAACATGCACAAAGGAAGAGGTCAGCTATGTTATGGCTGCGGAGGGATTGGGGGCCCCAAATTGGGCATATGAACATCATTATCACCAGATGACAGATCACTTACTGGATTGGGTGTAATCATCCAATATTTGCTGAACTACAGAAGCTGCCATTCCTAACCACAGTCTAAATACACTAGTTGCCTTCTGTCGGGTTGAGCCTTTGGCTTGAATACACAACCAAACAAGCATGCAGTACGAAGCACAGTTCCTCAGTCAGTAAAAAATAAGGCCAGAATATGGTTCAGTGTAAAGGTTCTCTTTAAGGGCTCCTCCATTCTAGGCACTCTGAACACTTGCATCAACAAGAATATTTTAACACTTTCTCATTGATCCCCCCCCTCCTTTTTCAGAACTCCATTTGCTGCAACATGCACATCACAGCAAAGCATGTTGAATGCCATTCATTTTGAACAGCACCCCCAATAAACAAACCCGACAGACCTGCACATGTGGTGCGGCAAAGCGATAATAGGCTACTTGTCTGTTTTTCAGAATGGCAAAATGTGAATAGGCCCTACTGAGGGGGAAACAATCCTAGAACAATTGAAACATCTCCATCTTTAAGTTGCATCAAAAATGCAGCAGCAGCGACAAAAAAAGATTCCACTGAAACAGATTGCATGCAGACCACACTAAACTGTTCTTGGAATTTTTCAGAAGCCAACAAGTCTCTGAATATGAGTTTTACATTACTAGTTATTAGAGAAACAGGATTTAAAGCTTAAAACTGATGTTGTAGGTTGAAGCTTTATGAACGAATGGAAGAAAAGATGACAATTTACAAGCTGTTACTTAAACCGGCCAACACCCCGACTATTGTGAGGTCTCAGCGCTCCATGCTACACGTTACCTGTCTGGTTTTTGCAGAGGTTTCAATAAAAGGAATCCCATAACTCCGTGCCAAGTCCTGAGCTTGCTTGGTGTCTACTGTTCTAGAAGGTAAATCACATTTGTTGCCGACTAAAACCATCGGTACGTCCTCAGAGTCTTTTACTCTTTTTATCTGTTCTCTGCAGGAAAGGCAAACAAAATGGAGTCAGCTTAGCCAATCTGACAAATTGAATACTCTTCATATTTACCTTCTGTGTCTCATGGGCTACTCAGAAGGAATACTTAAAAAGACCTCACCTGTACAGAACATGGATAGTCAAAACCAAAGTCTATTTAATACATCCACTTCAGTCCTTCAAAAGTAATCCAAGTTATCCAAAATAAAACCTTAAATAGACCTGGCCATCACAAGAGCAGAGGGACCAAAGTGCAACTCTTATAAGAGGGTTGATTTGCAATAAACTTCTGTTGCTTTTGTTTTGTAGTAACTTTTGTAGTAACTTCTGTTACTACAAAACAGCCAGTTATGATGGCTGATTTCGACGGAGGCAACTTCGGCTCACAGGAACAGGAATTCAAAAACCACACAAACTGCAGAATACCGTTTAATCCAGGGATGCACCGATATAGCGTCTGAAAATGGCACTTTCGGCATTATGCCAAAAGTGCCATTTTCTGGCCGATACAGCGGGGCATCCATATTTCTCTACTCCCCGCTGGGCGCTACTCTGTGTCCCAGCGGGGAGGAGAGAAACTGTCAAAGGCAGCCAAGCGCTGTGAGCGGCCAGCTTCTCTACTGCCACGCCCCTCAGCCTCCTCCCAGAGCGATGTGTGGGCGGAGACAGCCAGCACTGTCACAGCAGGCGGAGTTCCTCTCGCTCAGCCTCCTGTGACAGTGTGTCAGGAAGGAGATGAGTGCAAATACTCAGCGATCGCTGAGTGTTTGGACATAGCATGTTGACTATATCCTCAATTATAAATGAATGGGAAGTGATCTACATCACCTCCTGTTCATTCATGATTGTGGTTATAGTAAACATACTCTGTTCTCATGTTATGAATGAACAGGAACACTCCTGTTCATTTATAACTTCCTCAATCTTTCTTTTTTAAAATGGGAAATATCAGTGCTCTGTTTAGACCCCCAATATTTCCCAAATCCCCTAAAAGTAAAGTAAAAAATATTTAATGAAAAATGTAATCAATAAATAAAAATATTAAACAATTAAAACATTTATAAAAATAAAATATATTTAAAACATTTGAAAAAGTTAAAATAAAAAACAATGTTTAAGCCTGACTTTTTTATTTCGGTTTTGAAATTTTCATTTCGGTGCACCACTAGTTTATACAGACTAGGGATGCACGATACCGGTTTTTCTGAATAGAGTAAGAGTGCAGATATTTATATTTCTGTACGCGCAGATACCGGTACTTCCGCTAGCATGGAGCAGGCTTCCCAAGCAATCAGGAAGCCGGGCGTTGTGTCATTACCCCGTCACCCAGCTTCTAGATTGGCAGGGAAGCGGCTTCCCGGTCATTACACAGAGCCTGAGAGCTTACACAAAACCGCACTGGGACAGAGGCTTGAAAGAAGTTTCAACTTCGAAACTCGTTACATCCACATATAGCAGATTTATACTGCAGACATTCCCCACTCATTTCCCCTCTGTCTGTCCCTTGCCTCATTCTCCCATCTCCTGCTTTCTCTCCCCCACCTTTCCTGCTACATACTCTGCTGCACCGTTAGTGTAGTCTTCCTCTGCACACCAGTGACAGACACTCACTGGGCTCCGATTCCAGCCAATCAGCATCGAGCCGGCTTCGCAGCCAATCAGGCTCATGTTTCCTTGTGGCATTGCCGGTCAGAGGAAGTCTGACTGGAAGTTCTGGTATCAAAAGGTATCTGAGCATTTGTTCTGTTCACAAGCGGTTAGAAGAACCTTCACATATTGACACTTCCAGGAGTGCCTGATACCTGCAGCCTCCACGGCTCACAAAAGGCTGTAGGAGCCAGTGGATGGAGCCACAGCATGAGGCAGGAGGACAAGGCATTAGACTCACTTGGATGTGAAGCCATTGCTCTGCAAGAGAGTGAAGATCAGAGAAATGAATGGCGAACAGGAAAGTTTAAAAGGAAAAAGAAAAAAAAAAAAAAAGCCTTTCGCAGGTGATTTTTCATTGCCTTATACAAATCTACATCAGCACAATGTACCTATAATGGTGAATGTCCTCAAAGGATTTAGTGTTATTAATGGCAAAGACGCAGAGGAATCCCTCCCCCGTCCGCATATACTGGTCTCTCATTGCACTATACTCCTCTTGACCTGCGGTGTCCAGGATGTCCAGTAGGCAGGTCTCGCCATCGATGACCACTTGTTTCCTATACGAGTCCTGCAAAAGAACACAGGTGAGATTGAGGAAAGAGGTTAGAGCTTGGATCAGCACTGGACAGAAAGCATCAAGCTGTCCTTTGTACCAGCAGAGCTTACAATCTGTCCGCCAAGGGCAAAATGGCTGCTGCATCTCTATTAACCTAAATGCCAATCAAGAAATGGTGGGGGTTACTGTTTATAGGTACTACAGCATGCAAAGACTTTAGAAAATTGTCCACGTCTAACCTTGTGGTACAAGTATGGAAGGTACTTTTCTGTTCCAGCATGACTGCCCGTGTACAAAGCCAGCTCCATTGAGACATGGTTTGACCAGTTTTGGTGTGAAGGTACTTGAGTGGCCTCAACCCCATATATTAGTGGCCATGGTTTACATTAGTGTCCATGATTTTGGAATGGGATGTCCAACAAACTCATCCAAGTGTGATGGTTAGGGGTGTGGACTTTTGGCCACAGTTCATCTTGTTTTCAATTTCTCTAAATTTATGCAAAGTTGTGTTTTAAAGGTTTGTCCCCCTTCCATAAGGGCCATTTTCCTGCTAAGTTTTCAACCAAGCCAATCGGGAAAAGCAAGTATCTATGTATACTGCCTGAAGATTTTGCAGCTTTAGGACTGAGCTCTGCATGGTAGAGGTTTACTGGAGAGGACCTTCTCCGGGGTGGGGAAACTTCAAAATAGCAACTTTTTACCAATTAGCAATGTATTTGACATCACAACTTCTGGCATCCATTTTTTTTCTTCTCAGAGTGGAGAAATATGGTTAACTGATTTGCTAGTGTTTAAATAATTACAAAAACAGAAGACCTTTTTCACTTCCTTGGATTTTATTTTGCATGTGACTATTGTAAAATGTTATATTACAGATCTTTACCCAGATCTGGGGTTAGGGGATCTTTTCACATTGAAATTCTACAAGTTGGGAGACATTGAGCTCCATATAAAGGGATATTGATTCCTACAGACTCCAGTCTGCTGTTCTTGGGTAAGAAATATTGTTTCTAATATACTGAACATAAGACAGCTTGAAGACCAGGTTTGGGTTCGGACTGCACCTTCATGTTACGAGTACCCAACTCACCTCTATAGTAGGATCATATTCATCAACAAAATGGTTCTGTATTAGTTGTATTGTCAGAGCGCTCTTCCCAACGCCTCCAGCGCCGACCACCACTAGCTTATATTCCGTCATTTTTCACAAAAAATCTAGAAGAAAAAATGAAAATGTTGCTGTTATTTCAGGACAGGCAAACAGGAAGAGGGAGGGGTTCTATTAATACCTACTCAAGTGGCAATGCAGCCCTGGGGAATATTGTATGAGGCAGTCTCACTCCCTCATGGTAAATAAACCTCCCACCTGGACAGACAGAGGTGAATCTATAGCAGAGGATCAAGCTATCACCCACAACTCCCTGTATAATTGCAGCCTGGAAGTGTACTAGGGGGTGATTAGAGCTAGAAAAACCATATAAAGACACTAAAAATACACAGAAGGGCACAACATAGCACAGTTTCAAACATTGATGTGATTTATTTGTATATTTATAAGTAACACATTTTCTGTTTGTTTGAACATGTAAAAAATGAGACCTGAGAGAACAGATGTGAAGGTCTTGAAATTCTCTATTTCTGTCCCTTGTCAGGGTTCTAGCCATAAAAGGTATCCACATGAAGAATTGTAACATGGTCATGGCAACAATACATACTGGGGAAGAACTATTACCCTTCCAACTTCTCTAGAGAAGTCTAACAGACCCCTCTTTAGGGAACAATGGATGGACCCCCAGCCTGTCCAATCCAGGAGCATGCAGAGTTATTTGGTGGAGCCAGCTCCATTGACAACAAGGAGACCTCAAAAGTTAGGCACCAGCTGTAATCTTGAAGGATCATTTGTGACCCGGCTCCTGGGATTGGTCCAGCCCAGGGTCCAATCTTTACGTCATGCTTGGCTTTGCTGCTTCCCTTACAGCTTGGATATAAAAAGCTGAAGTAAGACGTACATTATACATCTGTGGAGCTCTCTATCCAACCTTCTTAGTCAAGGGGCATTGTGCCTCAGATGGGACCTGAACTTTAAAAAAAAAAACAAGTTCATATTAAAGGCCAAACTAATTCAGCCATTTCCCCCCCAGGTAATTTATCTCTTAAGCTTTATAGTCATCTGCGTTAGGCCCAGAGTTTAATGGGAGACAGCACAGCAAGTATAGGGAGCTGAACCCGTCCCCTGTGTCGTGCATTAAAACGAGAGTTGCGGCCAAAAATTTACCAAAATCAGCCAATACGACCTGTCCTGAAATAACAATGGGAGCTGATTTGGCTCTTCGTATTAGACATGTGCGATTTGTTTCGAATCGAAATTCGTATGAATTTTCCTGAAATTCGGAAGCATCCGAAATCCGAATTGCAGTTTCCGAATTATATCCGAAATACGAAATTCCGTTAACGAATTTCTGATTCGAATTTCTTTGAAACAGGAACTAATATTACCCCTGTAAATGAGGTTGAACAACATGACAAGATTTTTTAAAAAATCCGAAATACGGATCCGCTGCTGCTGAGTGTAGCATTACAATACAGGCAGGAAATACGAAATTCCATGACGGAATTTCGTTCCGTTACGAACATTTGTTATATTGAAGTTAAAAAGCAAAGTACATTTATATTGGAGTTGATGGTAGTTTTTTTTTATCCGAAATTCGGATACGGAATTCGTATTTCGTGTTGGTTGACCAGAGAGGTTTTCTCTTCTGCTGCTGAGAGTTGTATTACAATACAGGCAGGAAATATGAAATTCCGTTGACGTTCCGTTACAAACATTCTTTATATTGAAGTTAAAAAGCAAAGTACATTTATATTGGAGTTGATGGTAGGTTTTTTTTTATCCGAAATTCGGATACGGAATCCTGATACAAAAACTATCACATCGACTCCAATATTAACAAAAAGGTATTTTTGCTTTTTAACTTCATAACGAATGTTCGTAAAGTTACGAAAACGTGCCGAAACTAACGAAAATTCGTATTTCGTACGAATCGGAATTGAGTTTCGGATACGAATTACAAAATAACGGATATTCCGAAACGGAACACATTTTTTGACGGCACACAAGTCTGCTTCGTATATGTCCAGCCATGACGTAAATGGGACGACAAAAGAATTCCTGAATATGGTTTCACTTTGTCATTATCAGGTGACTATTGTTTGACTCTCAGCCACAAGAGAATGGTCTAAAGAAACCAAGTCAATAACGGCCAGCCATGAGAACAACAAACAACTCCCTCGTTGGGTTGAAGTGCCCTGACTGGGTCAGATTTCAAGGTTCTCCTCTGACCTCAGACTGGAAGAGTCTTAGTGTTAAGTATAAATTAACCTGAACTCCTGAGAAAGATGTCACTTTGTGAGTCTCGTTCCACCTGACTTCAGCCTGTAAACGGGACAGCAGAGTCTCAGAGAGGTGATTAATCGTCACATCGCAGCACGTGAGCAGTCACTTGTTTTACAGGTTACACCAATTATGTGACAAATGCAGGAACTCATTAAAAAGCTGCATGGGTGGTTTTGTAAGTTGTAACCGTGTAGGCTTTTGAACTCGCAGACATTCCAATCTAACTGCATAATCCATCATCAGGTAGGTCATCGTTATATACCGTTCGGTAAACCCAAAAGTGGATCGTACAAAGATTGTTTGGTCAGACTGCAACATGTATGGTGAGCCAAAATTAAAAGGGCTATTCAAAGAAAACAATTTTTAAATAAGTGCCACTGTACCTTCCCAATACCTCCCAGGAGAGCAAAGTACTAAAAATACACGGCTTACTCTGGAGCATGACTGCAGTAAAGAGCCAGATTTGGGAAGCGCTTCAATTAGCTGTGAAGCAACTGCCTGATCTCATGCCAGTATCATATGCTGTCTCCCAGCTCCTGAGTATGCATGACACATGCAAGGGTACACATAAAAAACCCAAAACCAGACCATTTTGCCTTACGCCCTCAGTTAGCAAAGTCTGGGATTTATTTTTTGCAAACCTGGGCAGCCAAATGAGACTAGGCCATACACTAGTAGATTTCTGAACAAACTTTATACAAAAGATCTTTTGAAAATCTAAGCAGTGTATGACCAGCTTTACACTGGCGACAAGACACATTTCACTGCAAAGACACCCTCAATTGAAGGACGGGGAAGGTTCTATTCGGTTGCAGTGCTATGGTGAATAGATGAACCCAGCTGCAGTATTTGAATACAAGTCTCATTGCTCCTGTTTAGCATTGCCTCACAAGAACAAAGGGGTCCTATTGCAGCTTACCAGTCCTTTGATGTGGTGACTTCATTAGATTTTGTATCTTTTTGTACCTGGCGCGATTCTGCAAGTGACAAACACTCAATGTACAGTATCTGGAGAAGCAGCATTGTCACACTAGGAAAGGAGTGTGTAATAAGTTTCTTTGAATAATATCAACTAAGAGTGCATCTCAGGCAGATCGCCACCCACAAGATCATCTAGATCAGGGGTAGCTGAACTCCAGCTGTGGTGGAACTACATATCCCATTGCAAGATTCTCACATCCACGACTCCTGGAGAGAGATGCATCATGGGATTTGTGGTTTTACCACAGCTGGAGGGCCGGAGTTTGCCATCATCTAGATCAGGGGTAGCCAAACAAAAGTCTTTTAATGGTAAACCTAACAGACCAAATAGGAACAAACAGACACTCATTGTTCAGGTTTATAGACCAACTACAAAGCTTTGCCATGCCTGACCTCTGGAGGACTTTTAGCTCCAAAGACGCCCACAAAAAAAAAAAAACCTAAATTGAACAATGTGGCTGACTTGCATTAACGATACTATGCGTATGGAAGAAATGGTGGCTATAGACGCAGACCGCAACAAATCCTTCCGAAACTTGTGGTTGCCATGGATTTGCTTTCAAGACTCAGTTGCTTTCCCTGCCTTGTTGACCTCAGCACCATAGTCGGGACTAGTTTTATCACTACTCTCTGTTGACATCGTATGTCGTAGACCGGGATATGTCTCAGGAACCTACTTGAGGTCTCCACCCGCCTTCACGAGCAACCTGGGCGTCCTCGTACCATAACACTGTCTGTATTTGTATTGTGTTGTCCTGTCTTGCGTCCAATGATCTGTCTTCCCCCCCCTCCCCTCCACGTTTAATGAGGTATACGGAGCCACACGGCACAACACAGTGGCAGATGATCATATGCTTTTTATCGCTCTAAGCTCATCATTGGTTACTATGGCTCGAAGATACCCCCCATGTAAAGGAGTCATTTGAGTGTATTGGGTCCTGCGGACCAACTTACCTGTATACCTGTATGTACCCTGAACATGTGCTATGTATGTTATATATTTTTTCACTTGTTTGAAAAGAATAAAACTTTATTTGGACTAAAAAAAAAAACCTAAATTGGGACAAAAATCCATTAAGTTTATTTCATAAAAAATCCAAGCATAACTAGAGCTGCAGCTAACGATTATTTTCAAAATCGGTTAGCCGATTATTAGGTTCGATTAATCGGTTAATCGGATAAACTATAAAATAAAGTTTAAAAAATGGCTCCAGTGATGGGACTACTAGTTTGTATTGAGGTTGTAGTCCATCACAGGAGCAAGCTTGGAGCGGTGGAAGTAAAAAAGAAAAAAAGATAGTGTGGTGTGCAATATAGTGAAATGGAAAGTGTAAAATTATACAGCAATGCATGCAGAATGGCAACGGCTATAGAGGACTACAAAACCCAGCAAAAGCACATTATACAGCACAAAGCAGAATACCGCCAGCTATAGAGGAATACAACAAATCCCAGCAATAGTACATTATAGCTGGCGGTATTCTGCATTGCGCTGTATAATGTACTATTGCTGGGTTTTGTAGTCCTCTATAGCTGGTGGTATTTAGCACTGTACCACTTTATAATGTATTATTGCTGGGATTTGTTGTACTCTTCTACAGCTGGTGGTATTCTGCATTGCGCTGTATAATGTATTATTGCTGGGACTTGTAGTCCTCTATACAGCGCAATGCAGAATATCACCAGCTATAGAGGAGTACAACAAAATCCCAGCAATACATTATACATACATTATACACTGTATTGCTGGGATTTGTATTCCTATGTATAATATACAGCACAATGTACCATCAGCTATAGAGAAATACAAATCCCAGCAATACATTATAGAGCACCAT